GGGGGGGGGGGGGGTCAGGCTACGGTTGTGGCAGAAAGAAGCTTCCATACACAGGCCACAGTCTGCAGAGCTTTCCATAAAGATAAGTAAAATATTAGCTTCTTCTGTGATCAAACTGTCTCCTTGTTCTTCTTTAGGTGCTGGGAAAGAAACGCTGTCATTATGACATCATAGCTGGCTAAGCCAATAGGAACAATCCTTTTGAAAAGGTCTGTTCCTCACAGTCAGCATCTAATCTGTACTGAAAACTGACTCCGAGTCAGCAGGAATGTTGTTTTTTAAAGCCCGACTGCGGCTGGAAGCTCGATAATAAAATATATTTCCTTCAGTTGGAGCCTGCAGCTGGTGTCATCTGTAATGTTTAATCTGCTGTATGGAAAACTTTTAATGCTTAAATTAGTGGGATTAACATATAAACTCCGCTTGAGAACAACAGTAGAATTAACTTAATTTCCCAGAATTCCACCACTACAACCAAACAAACAGAGGACTCGTCCATATCCGTCGGTTCCCGCTTCACAGTTTAAAGTTTTCAGACGGATGAGAAAGACCAGGAATCGTCGTCACGTTGTGCCGGGTCACACCAGAAATGAATGAATGTGTCTTTGAGAAGGTGGTCTAAAGGTTTGGTGACATTAGTGTCAGGTTTATATTGTTTATAGTAGATCTGACAATTTCAGGTCATTTAAAAAGATGAACAGGGTCTGAAATGAACACCAGAGTGCACAGACTCTAGAGATTAGCTAACATGATACTACATTATCTGTATTATTGTTCACTTTGAGGGGGCGGGGCTTAATCATACAGTGGGCTTCTTCATCCCTTTATTTTAAACACATGAAAATAAAATGTGCTGTAAATTTCCTTCTAACTTGTATTTCATTCATTTGTAGTGTTTTTATTCTGAAATATAAATATGTTCTTAAGCTGCAGTGTTATTTTTACTAGTCAAAGTTCACCCAAATTAAAGAGATTCTGTTAAAATTGATGAAATAAAGTCTAAAGGTTCAGATTAAAATGCTGGTGTGACTCTTCACTCTTCCTCAGGTGGAGAAACAAACTATTCAGCCATTAAAAGAAGTCGTGCAGCTCTTCTGCTCTTCTGCATACAAACATCGATCTCTCGACTAGAAGCTGATCAAACAGGAGTCGTGAAGTTCTGGTGGAGTTGACGCTGCAGCAGGAATCTAAACTCTGTGAATCAAACCTGAAGCCTGAGCCGTCCCGCTGACAGAGCTGCTGCTGCTGCTGCGGCGGCGGCGGTGGTGAAGAAGATGGCGGCGGTGCTGATGATGACGTTTTGTTCAGAGTCTGTGCGTTTTTTTTTCAGTATCCCGCAGTGATCCTGGAAGAGCAGGGGATTGTGGGAGATGCAGCCTCCAGCGGCGTCAGAAGAGGCAGACTTTCTTCTTCAGGTCGTTTCTCTTCCAGACGGAGAGGTGGTCGAACTCCTCGATGGACATCCCGAAAACACTGAAGAACTCCTCCTGAGAGAGATGTCTCTGCAGGGGCGAGAGACATAGAGACAGACAGAGAGAGAGAGTGCAATGAGTAAGATATGCATAATTCTGATCAACCAAACTCCATTCAGAAAACAAACATTTTAAAAGTTGTTTGCTTGTCGTCTTGCAGACCGACCGGACAGAGTCTGAGTTCAGACTTTATACAAATCAGCATCACGATGAAGATGTTTCGGCATCATTTTAATCCGTTTATTGATAATAAATCACAGCAAAAAAACACCAGAGAAAAGAGGATTCAGCTGTGAAAGAACAGAAATGATCCTTCATGTTGCATTATGGTTCGAGGACATTATCTGTAACTGTAAACTGAACATCACAGAGAGGGAACAGGGGTAGTTTTACCTCCAGCCTGGTTCTGTCCACACCGGGGGGCAGTTTGCGCCGCCCTCTGTGGGTCACCACCAGCATCTCATAGGGGTAGATCTAAAGATATCAATCAATCAATTAATAAAGCAAACAGACTGTGGATATAGCTTCAATTAATTATAAGCATTTTAAAAAAAAGCTGAGAGTACATCAGTGACTTCTCTCTGGAATTAAAGGGTCAGTTCACCTGAACTAATTATTCTGTTAATCTGTTCTTTCTGTGTTCTTAACGGTATTTTAGAGTTTCCTGATAATCAATAAAAGTAGTTGATGACTCATTATTCACTCGGGGACGAATACTAACAAATTAACTAACTAGTTAGCTGATTTACATCCATCATTAGTTAGACTCAACTTTCTAACTGTATTCAGTGATTTTCAGTGAAAACTGGATCAGATTTTATGAATAAAATATTTCCTGGTTTTCCTTCTGACGGCTGCTCAGCTTCAACTCTCTGTGATTCCTGATGGACTTATTGATCAGTAGCCAAATGCTAACTGCTGTTACTGGATTCCCTGACAGTCTCAGAGGTTGTGTTTGATCCTGGGGCCACTGGTAGTTTAGGGTTAGGGTTGCTGACCCTAGCTCATAGCGCTAGCTGCTATTGGATGCTAAGCGCCAATCAATATCAATAACGAGTCCCTCCCTAACTGTTTTTACAGTCTCTGTTGTATTCGACAGAAATGTGGGACTGGACGGATACTAGCAGAGAGAACAGATGTTTGCTTGTTTGTTTGTTGTTTGTTTGTTTGTTTTAATGTTGGTGAACCAACCCTTTAAATATAATTATGAATATGTGTTATGATTAAAAACAAACACACTGCTGTTACTTTTTGGTCCAACATGCTGGGGAGAGAGTTCCCTCTGTCCATCCGGGAGTCTCCGTTCTGACAAACACACATACGATCAAATTACCATCAATAACACAGACGCTTATTAATTATTGATCAGAAGATGTCTGAATGAAAGAGACTGTACCTGAAGATCTGTAAGGAGACACAGACACACACAGAGAGTTCATGTTATTTACTGAGATACTGCAGGTTTTAACATTTCTCATAACTCTTTTAATAAAATGAGATTTGAATGAGAGACTTGAAGAATTAAGGATTTATTTCCGGAGTTGGTGATTGTTGGAAAGACTCCAGATAAAGATGATTAATAATAATAATAATAATAATAATAATTGATAACTTTGTACCTGCGGGAGTTTTCTCCGACGAGCTGAACTCTGCCGACTGCAGCTGAAAACAAACATCAGATATTCGGGTTCATCTTCGTACAGAGGGAGGAAGAGCAGACGGAGGTGGATGGCTGCGATACAGCTGTACTCACCCTGGACAGGCCGCTCTTAGAGGATGCTGGGAAATACACAGACTTGGAGGCGTTGGAGCCTGAAGAGGAAGAGGAAGAGGAGAGAGAAAGAGAGAGAGAGGGAAATATCAGACGGATAAAGTCAGATTGTATGAAACAAGGATAGAAAGGAGGAAACAAGGGTAGAGGAGAGGAAACAAGGATAGAGGAGGAGAGGAAACATGGATAGAGGAGGAGAGGAAACAAGGATACAGGAGGAGAGGAAACAAGGATACAGGAGGAGAGGAAACA